GTTCAATCATGGCGGCGCCGCCCGCACGCTCCGGTAAAATTTGCGGTTCACGGATCGCGGCCCGGCTGGGGCGGGCGCGTTTCGTACGGCGTTTCGTTTTCGGGGGTTTCAAACCCCTTTCCGCCGCTTTGGGATGAGGAGTTTTGGGGTTTTATTCCCCTCCGGGCTCCTCTGGCGGGCGGGGAGAGCGGGGACCGGGCTGTGCGAAGCGCAGGGTGCGGGCGGCGCSGAGCGCTCCGCAGGGATGAGCCGGCAGCGCTCCGCAAATCCCATTATCCCGCAATTCCCGGCTCTGTTTGTTGTCTGGGAGGGAGGGAGGGAAAATGTCCCCGCTCGGAGGTTTGTGCCCAGCAGGATGAGTGTCAGACACTGAAATACGGGAACATTTCTGTTTGGGATTGCACCTGCTGACCCCAAGATCTGCATCACGAGACCTTTTGGGATCGCATGGGAAAAAACCCGTGCCTTCCACACGTCACCCGGAAATTAGGAAAAGCCAACCACGCAGCACAGGAATGATCAAATCTCGGAAAAGAGGCCCGAAAAGTTCACGTTCCACATTCCTCCAGCTCGGGCTTTCCTGGGAATCATCCGGAGGCCACGGAGCAGCTCCCGGCCCTCACCTCCCACCTGATGGGAAAAGGGAAGCGCCCGATGTCAGACCGGGCACTCCGACAGTGGGAATGGCACAAATTAACCGAATTTTGCTGTTTAGTCCCCACCTCGTGTCCTCCCGGCCACCCCATCCCTCCAATCCCGAGGGACGCAGCCCCGGGTCCACCCCACTCCCCAAACACTCAAATCCCAAAGCGGGAACAATTCCCGTGGAGTTTTGGGGTTGCCACGTGCAAGGCCAGGAGCTGCATTTCCATCCTCCCAAGGATATTCCATCGTGTTAGGATTTACAGCTCAGGTAACCCCAAACCCCAAATCCATGTCCCTTATCCTGGCAAGCCTCCCTTTCCTCAGTTTCCCTCRCCCCGGGCACCTTTGGGAGCTGATCCTGTCCCATCCTGGGGTTTTTTAAACCAAACCCTTTTCCTGCAGGGGGAAATCCCCTCCCCGACCCCAATCCCGGGTTTAGGGCCCTTTAGAGCGCCCCTGGCCAAGCGTTACATCCCGGGGGCCGCAGTTTCCCTTTATCCCGATCCTTGCAGGGAACTCACTCAGCCTCAACTGCCACGGCTTCCCCTCCTTTCCCACCCCCCGGGTTTTTCCCCTCCTGYCTTTTATCTTTTGTGTTTAAAATTAAGAATAAAGGGGCGGGGGGGATTTTGTGACCCGAGGCTGGTGCGGYGGGTTTGGGATTGTCCCGGGTAAAGCGCGGGACATCGCCCGTCCCGCGGTCCCGTGGAGAGCCTTGGACTTGAAGCGCCTTTGGGGGATTAAATCCCGATCCCATCGCAAATCCCGGGGGAGGGAGGGGAAAGGCACCGGGGCTTCTCCGGGAAAATGGGGAAAAGCAAGAGCGGGGAGAGCTGAGATGTGGGAGATGTTTGATTGACACATTATTTACGTACTTTTATTTATTTACAAACGTTATTTACACACATTTTTTAATTTATACACATATTATTTACATACATTGTTTACATAYATTTCTTTATTTACACACATTTATGTGCTTATACCCATTATTTACACACATTTTTTTATTTATGTTCATTATTCCAAATAAATAATTCCATTTGGGTCCTTTTAAAATTTTGCTGATGAAGTTTTTCTCTCTATCCTTTGTTTTGGRTACTTTTGGCCTCAAAACATTGGGGAAAGTTGTCAGATTTCCAAGCCAAATGTCCCTCCCYGAGGAGGTAAATGAATCACAACAAAGGATCCCAAATATCTGGGAATTTGGGATTTAGGAATGGCACCGACATCCTGAATTATTTTGCTTTTTTTTTTCCCTGGATTTTTGGGCCTGGAAGGAGGGATCGGCTCTCACCTCACCTCYCTTTCTTCACTCCAGCACCTCAAATCCAACGAAACCAGAGATATTTTATTTGTCTTTATGGATTCGATCCTTTGGACTCAGAAAAATTAATTATTGCAGGAGCTGCAGGAAAATGAAAAATTCAGTTTTGATGCTCAATTTTGCTCCYGGGTGGAACTAATTTAAGGAATTGCTAATTGTTCCTCTTTTTTTCCCCAAAATTCCCACATTTTCATGCCCCACACGTATTTRCGGCACTTCCCACCCCATTTCCCTCCCCGCACCGTCCCACAGGGATCACAGGGATCCGCCATGGGCCATGGATTTCTCGGGATTTCGCCGTTTATTCCCTTTTTTCCTGAAAAAAAAAATGAGGCTGTGCTTCATTCCAAGGGTGGAGGAACTGCTCCAAAACACATCCAGAGCACAAACCCATCTGGAGAGGTTCCAAAATCCCATAAATTTGGCTTTGGGAGCAACTCCTGCGGATGAATTGGGATAATTCCCCTGGGGATGGCCCAAGTGTCCCTTTGTGGGGTTTATTTTTATTATTTCCATCACGCCCAGAACAATTAACGGGGATTCGGTGACGTGGGCGATGTCCAGACACCCCGAGGGATTTCAGGGAGCCTGAAATGGATTTTCCCAGGGTTTTTTGGGATCTGAACCTGACACTGGAAACCACAGTGAGCTTGGGGCTGCTCCCACCTCAGCTCCCCTGGGGCAGGACTGGGGGATTTGAGATTCCAACTCTCTCGCTGGGCTTTGTCCAGGGCAGATATTTTCCAGRGCAGTTTTCCCGGGATATTCCATAACTCCAGGCCCCGATTGCTCAGGAATGTGGAATGGGGACGAATAATGGGAACCAGATTGTTTTTAATGGGATTTAGGCACCTGTTTCCCTTCCCTKGGGAATTCCCTTCGCATTCCAGAGGGGGCTTTAAAAACCTTTTAAAAACCCTCGGCACCAATTAAAGCTTTGCCGGTGTCCAACCGCTGCTGGGGGTTAATTAATCCCCTATAATTAACGCCCTGCTCTGATGACCGCGGAGGAGTTCGGGCGCCACATCAGCTCCGCTCAAAATTCCTGTCAGTGCCCAGTGCCC